TCCCTGCTTCAATGGGCTGCTTGAAGCCAGGACTGGGTAATTCCTTCCAGATGTCTTGATTTCTTCGGCCTTGTCTTAACCTCTTCCTTACTGTTGTTGCCCTTCTGCCTCCTCCAACTTAAGGGGGTCTTAACTACAGAGGTTGTGGGTGTTTTAACAGGGTGGAGGAGGGAGCAGGGGTGAAGGGAGCGGAGAAGGAGATGTGGAGTGGGGAACCTTGAGGGAGGGAAACAGCGGCAGCCAAGGCAGGGGGATAGGAGGAGGGATAGGCGGGAGGGAGGAGAAGGAGAAAGAGAAATTGGCCATTAAAAGCCCTCTCTGAGCTAGAGGCCCGGTTCTGAACTACAATGAATTCAATTAACTTGATTGCCAATGTGTGCAGAGACAGGCAGTGCATGCTAGGAGGCCACCACCTGATTCCCAGCTTTCCTGCAGCGGCAAGATAGGTGCCCTGGCTTTGTAGATATATATCCTGGCGTTACAAGTTCTAAGTGATAAACTCTGAAAACATAGTTATTTATATAGTTTTTCCTCATCCAGGAAGAGAAAACACAACAATTTCCTGGAATAAGCAAAACATCTCCATACTTTGCTTTGAAATGAATTTCTCATGTAAGTTCGATATGCTATTATTACCATCTATAACCAGTACATACCCAAAACAACACCACTGACACGGCATTTCCCGGGGTGTTCGGGCTCTGGTTCTGTAAGAATAAGATCTTCCACAGCTCCTTCCTTAACAGTAAGCAGTGGGGTATTCAGGATTTCTTTCTGTCAAAAGAGAATGCCAGCTGAAACACCGCAGTTAAACAATCACTATTACCTTTCCTGTGCTCGTGCCCTATCCTTACCTGCATATTCTGTTTATAAAGTTTCCTGTCAATTTGAGCTCTCAGACCCCACACAGCTGGTCCCTTACGCCGGTTTAACACTTTGTAATGCACACCAGACTGGTCACAGACGCGAGAACACAGGCCATCCAAGGCATCTACTTCTCTCATCAAATGCCCCTTTCCGATGCCACCAAAGGAAGGATTACATGACATCTGACCTACAGAGAATAGACATAGACAAAATAAATTTATGAGCGCTTTGCATATAGAGGGTGTTTAATAAGGAAATGTTTGTACAGGTGACTATAATCATTTCATATGATAAAAAATAGGAAACTTGAAACATATACCAGGAAGAAAATCCCAAAGTCCCAATAGAATGCAAAAATTGCCCAGAGCATCCTGGAAGACAAACTACTGCCTGAACTTTATTTTGAATATTTTTTTCTCTCTCTTTAAAAAGAAACAAAGAGGGAAAAATATCCTTCATCTGCTGAAAGCTGTAATACCTGAATGTGACATCTGGAACTACTGTAGCCATTCTGCAACCATGAGGCTAGCTAGCTTGAGACAAGCTAAGCTTGGCATAATGGAGATACGGAAGGAGTCTGAATCCCTAGACGTTGCTGGCTTGCTGAATTAATCAACCTCAGATTCAATCTAGGTGCTAACTTCTTGAGATAATAAATTCTTCTTTTTGTTTGAATAAGAACTTTCAGGGTCTGGCACTATGTAAGCAATGAATATTTACTAATATTTAACTTATTTCACAGGTCAGTGTAAAATATTCTCTGCCTGTGATATTTCACTTTTTTTTAGAGACAGGATCTCACTCTGCTGGCCAGGCTGGCTGGAGTGCAGCGACAAGATCATAGCTCACCGCAGCCTCCAACTCCTGGGCTCAAGGGATCTTCCCAACTCAGCCCCCAGAGTAGCTGGAACTACAGACAAACCCCACCATGCCCAGCTAATTTTTTAATTTTTTGTAGAGACAGGGTCTGCTATGTTGTCCAGGCTGGTTTCAAACTCCTGGCCTCAAGTGATCCTCCTGCCTCAGCCTTCTGAGTCTCAAGGACTACACCTAGCTAATTTTTCTATTTTTTTGTAGAAACAAGGTCTCGCTATGTTGCTCAGGCTGGTTTTGAAATCCTGACTTCAAGTGATCCTTCTACCTCAGCCTCCCAAAGTGAGAGAATTACACTCATAAGCCATGGTGCCCAGCCTCCTGATCTTTCACTTTTTTTTTTTTTTTTTTGAGGCAGAGTCTCACTCTGTTGCCTGAGCTAGAGTGCCGTGGCATCAGCTTAGCTCACAGCAGCCTCAACTCCTGGGCTCAAGCAATCCTCCTGCCTCAGCCCTTGGAGTAGCTGGGACTACAGGCATGTACCACCATGCCTGGCTAATTTTTTCTATATATTTTTAGTTGTCCAGCTACTTTCTTTCTATTTTTAGTAGAGACATGGTCTCACTCTTGCTCAGGCTGGTCTCAAACTCCTGAGCTCAAAGGATCCTCCTGCCTCGGCCTCTCAGAGTGCTAGGATTACAGGCATGAGCCACCGTGCCCGGCCTGTAATCTGTTTTAGATATTGCTACTTGTAAAAACGACTTAGCATTTAGCTCTTATTATAGTTAATTTTTTAAAAATCTCCGAATCTAATTTCTGACATTTTCCTTAAACTTTCATCCCTAGAAATGTCTCCTCATACATAAGAAAAAACAAAAACCAACCCTAAGAATAAATTGTTGAAATCCCACCACTTCCTTATATTGCTAAACTAAATAAATTCTATGGTACTTTATTGAAATAGTACATATTACTATATATCTATTTATAAAATTTACATTTGTGAAAGTGTAAAGAAATCCTCGGATTTTAAATTGCTCAAAACTTTTTCTCAAGGAAATATATGCATCGATGTTGAGCCCCTCTCCTTATAAGAATAAAAGTTAAACATATCACACTCTTCTGCTTAGCTCTCAAAGACTTTCCCAACATAACACTCCAGGAAATAAGCATTCATTCCCAATCATTTGGAGTTGGCATAAGAAATAAACTCTATTGGTCATTTGTGCTCTTAAATAGAGCCTACTAACATCTGAAGTGTGGTACCAGTTCTTGGGGTAAGTAGTGATAATGAAACTGTATAAATCAGTCGATTCCTCACCCTACTAAAGAATTTAAGGCGGGGTACAGTGGCTCATGCCTGTAATCTCAACACTTTGGGAGGCCGAGGTTGGAGGATTGCTTGAAGTCAGGAGTTTGAGACCAGCCTGGGCAACATAGTGAGAACCTATCTGTACAAAAAAATAGAAGAATTAGCTAGGCATGGTGCTGCATGCCTGTAGTCCCAGCTACTCAGGCCCCTGAGGTGGGAGGATTGCTTGAGCCCAGGAGTTTCAGGTTGCAGTGACCTATGATGATGTCTCTGCACTCCAGCCTGGGTGACAGAGCGTCTGTCTCTAGAAAAAAAGTAGAATTTAAGTCAGCAATGTAGAAAAACTTATGGTAAAACAACAGCCGATATCAGACCATTTAATACTAGCCAGGCACTGTTCCAAGTAACTTATATGTTATTTTCCGACTTAAATTTTACAGCATCTCTATGAGGTTGGTATTGTTGCCATTTCTATTTCATAGAGAAAGAAACAGAGGCTAACTTGTCCTTTGTCCAAGGTCACACAGTGGAGCTTAGGTTAGAATTCAGAATATCTAGCAATCTCTTTAACGAGAAGGTCCCTCCATGAAATGCATAGGTGATGGCACACAGAATAAACAGGCTCAGGAAGCCTCTCTTTTTGTCATAAAAGGCAAAAAATAGTTTACCAACAATTACTATTTTCCAGGTTACTATAAAACAAACTTTCGGCCTCTTAACTTCAAAAGGAGGAGAGCTGGGGGAGGGGGGAAGGGCAACCTAAACATCTGTACCCCCATAATATGCTGAAATAAAAAAAAGAAAAAAGAGGAGAGCTGGTTAGGGTGGCTCTCATGCCTATAATTCCAGCAATTGGGGAGTCTGAGGAAAAGCTGAGGCAGGAAGATGGTTTGAGGTCAGGAGTTGGAGACTAGCCTGGGTGACAGAATGAGAGACCCCCCCCTCAAAAAAAAAAGGAAATATTAGCAGATGGTGTGATTAAATCACAATGGGACAATTCTTGCATTCTGCTTTCCTGTGAATCTCAACTTTCTAAGCCAAAGCTATCTTTCTTTGCTGAGGTCAAGTAGAAATACTTGAGACTCCACTATATCAAATTACCATAAAAATGAGACTTTTAAGATAGAATTGTCATTTTATAAGCTCATCTATAACAGTCATTAAAATATCTCTGAAATGTATTTATCTAAACACGAAACTCAGATCATACTATGTTGATGGAATATGGGTTTTGAAGCCCATGTTGTGGCACGAGCCTATAGTTCCAGCTACTGGCTAGGCTAAGGTGGGAAGATCACTTGAACCTAGGAGTCCCAAGCCGTACGTGCCATGATTTTGCCTTTGAGTAGCCACCACACTCCAGTCTGGGTAACAGAACTTTGTCTCTGAAAAAAATTTAAAAATAAAAAACAACGATTGTTTAACAAACAATTATTACTAGCGTTAACCCTTTATCTAAAGTAACAAGATAGTAGAAGGTAAACACAACAATGAACTAAGAAGCTACCAGCCAGTATGCTTGAAGTTCCTTTCCCAAAACACCGCTCCGCCCCCCAAAAATGACTACTTGTGTCAACAGCAACATATGCTGAGATCCACAGAAACATTATCTGTGGTCCGCATACAGACTATTGCAGAGCTCTGGCCCAACAAGACACAGATGAAGGCTAAAACCACAGGAGCTTGGATTCTCATTAGCCTTGGGGTAGGGAAAAGGTCGCTCCCATCACACCGTGGGAGGGAGGAAAAGTTGCAGCCCGCTTCCTACGCCAAGCGCCACACCACCCTAGCTCCTCACCGATCGTATCCACGCGGTGCGTGAGGAGCAGAGTCCGGGAGCCACACCGAGCGGCAGCAGCGGCTGCCTCGGTCCCGGCATGTCCTCCACCAATGACTACCACGTCGAAGTGCGGAGTCCCCGGTGCCGCGCTGTCACCGCAGAACCGGGCCAACCGAAGGTGCTGTTTGGCGAGGGAAGCCACGGCCCAGCGGCCACAGCCTCGGACGGAGAACATGCTGGGAGAAAAATCTATGTGACTTTGAACCTGACACGCGCGAGGTACAAAAAACTTACGCGACAAGAGAAAATCTATAGGGCGCAGCCATCTTGCCCTAATGCCGCGACGTAACGCGTCTACGTCCAGCGTCGCCGCTGATTGGCGGTTTGGCGCGAGTTTCCCAGCGAAGGGAGACACAGTGACAGCTCAGGTGCTCTGGAAGGTGTGTGCCTTCTTTCCTGGCCCTTGTCGGCTTTCCGATTCCTATGCCTCTGGGTGGGTGGCTCCTGCTGAAGATCACCTTTTGTCCTTTCTTAGGCGTTGCAGTCCTTATCGCCAGGTGGCCACCACGAACAATGAATTTGATCACTTTGCCTTATCAGATTCTTCCGATACACTATCATCTTGACTTCCGTTTGTTTATGAAAAGTAGAGTCTTAAAATAGGAATAGAGTTTAGCCGGGGCTGGCGCCCTGGCTCACGGCTTAATCCTAGCACTTTGGGAGGCCAAGGCGGGAGGATTGCTTGAGGTCAGGAGACAAGCCTGAGCAAGAGCGAGACCCAGTCTGTACAAAAAGTAGAAAGAAAAAAAAAAATTAGCCGGTCGGTGTGGCACGTGCCTGTAGTCCCAGCTACTCAGGAGGCTGAGGTGAGAGGAGCACTTGAGCCCAGGAGTTTCAGGTTGCAGTGAGCTATGATGCCTCTGTTGCACTCTAGCCCAGGTGACAGAGCGAGACCCTTTCTCAAAAATAAAGTAAAATAATAAAGTAAATTAAAATAAAATGACTTGAAAGGAGTTCAAG